CTGGATCACTGTGATCTTAACATGTAAGATCATCTTTAAATTTTTCTTTAATGTTGCCAAGGATTTTTAATTAGGAACTAAAAACATTTGGTAAAATTTGAACTTTCATTTAGTGAAATTAATGTGCTAACTACAACCCTGCTACTTTGAAAGCACAAATATGCTACTCACCCGGATGAGCTTCACTCTGGTTGTTTTTCATGTAGAGATGGCAAGACTTTTTAATCTATTATAATGGGTGTCAAACTTCCTCACCTAGACACTGAGCCTAGGGCTGGTTCATAACTAGCTAACTACTGAAGCCTTATATCACAATGCATGAGCACAAAACAGATTAATCACTGGATACTGAAAGGCAATGTCAGACTTAAAAATATTCAAGCCTCATAATACCCCCTTTGCTACCAATGATTACTAGTTGGTTGTTCTTGAAAAATCTCCACCAAATAAAGTTGTTAGGTGAAATAAGGAATGAGGATTGTAAACTTTAATGAAATGAATCTAAAAAAAACCTACACAGAAGAAAAAGGAACTCTCCTGCACTGCTGGGGGGAATGCGAACTAGTACAACCACTATGGAAAACTGTTTGGAGGTTCCTCAAACTGCTAAACATGGAGCTTCCCTACGACCCAGCAATCCCACTCCTAGGTATCTACCCAAAAGACACAAAAACACTGATTGAAAAAGATACCTGCACCCCCATGTTTATTGCTGCTTTATTTACAATTGGAACAACATGGAAGCAGCCCAAATGCCCAAAAGTAGATGACTGGATTAAAAAGATGTGGTACATATACACAGTGGAATATTACTCAGCAACCAAAAAAGAGAAACACATGTCTTTTGCAGCAACTTGGATGGAGCTGGAAAAGATCATGCTTAGTGAGATAAGCCAGAAAGAGAAAGAAAAATACGGGATGGTTTCACTCATAGCAGGAGTATAATGGACCAGGCGAGAAAATAACAAAAATAATGAACAACCATATACCAGAGACATTTTGTGGGGTCGAGTGGGGAATGGGATAAAAAAACGGGGGGGGGGAGGGAAGTGCATGGGATTATGGTGATGGCACACTGGTGACTTGGTGATGGGAAACCTGTGGGGATTACAATTGAGATGGGGGGGGGGAATGTACAAAATGATGTAAAAATAAACTGTTATAAAAACAAAAAAAAATACACCTTCTAGAATCTACCCAGGCTTGCTTTGTCTCTATTTTGCATCTAAGAACTCAGAGAGGAGCACTAATGTGAGGGCAGCTATTTGAGTGGATGCACTGTGGGAAGGGGTGAGAAGGGTTGTACCATCTCATACAATCCCCAGTTGTGCTAAAATGACCAAAATGTTGTGGTCCCCACAATCTAGAAATCTTAAGCAGGAAAGGATTGAAAACAGATTTCAGACACAACTTCCACTGATACATCCTAGTAGTTCTCAACTGGGGTAGTTTTCCCCTCTGGGGTACACTTGGCAATATGTGAGGCACTTTTGATGGTGATGAAGGGGACGGAGGGGTGCTACTGGCATCTAGTGGGCAAAGGTCAGGGATGCTGCTAAATATCCACCCTGTAGAGGACAAGATAAACCCCCACAACAACGAACTATTTGGTCCAAAATGTCCATAGAGGGCAGGTTGAAAAACCCCGATGTAACTAGATCATGTGTCTGAGCCCCTGGGTGCTCAGCCTATAAACAAATTGATTCTTTCATAAAAATAAAACTAACCACATATTGTTATCTGAAGCTGGTTGATTTTTATGTTTGTTTTGTTTTACCTCAGGTGTATGTTTTGCAATCTCTCTAATTAAAGTGGAAGCATTTTTCTTCACATATTCATCTTTGTCCTTCAGACAGGTAAGTACAACTGGAAAAATCTCAGCTTCAACCACCATTTCTGCCAAATCCACAGAGTGTTTTGCAATCTCACTGAGAGCTGAAAGGACTTGACGCTGTTAAGTAAAAACCAAAAGAAAGTAAAATATGAAGTAGAGTCCACTGAGAGTTCAGGTGAAACAGCTTTAATGTTCAGATGCCACTTATTAAGGAAAAAATAATTATATATTCAATGTAAAATTACTCAATCTCAAGACACTCGTGTCTTCCTTAATTTCAAAATATGTCTTAGCTCTCTACTGATTTTCATTCAAATACCTCTATAAAGCAGATGATCAAAGAATATGATCTTGGGATCATTTCCATTTGTAATAACTTATTATTATTTTAGGATTATTTTAATGTTTCTTAGCTATGATACATGTGATAATGTGGTACAAAAATCATCAAGTAGAACTAACATTCAATTTTGACATTTAGTTGCTATCATTTGAAAGAATTTCTCATTGCTTTTTGATATCAACAATTTCTTAAAAAATTAATATAATTTTTAGAACATAAAAGCATACTTGGTGGCTAGCAAATGAAAATCAAAATTTTGAAAGTTATTTAAAAAGCTATGGGTATGGCAAATTTTAGAACAAGCTTAAGTATTGTAGTTAATAGACTAAAAAACCTTTAGTGAGTTATCCTCCATACTGTGATTCAACCATTCTGCAATTTTTTTTAATTAATGTTTTTATTTTAGTGAGGTATCATTGTTTTACATCCTTGCTGGTATTCCCCCTCAGGTGAGGTCTCCCACCACCGAAATGCCCAAGGCCCTCCACCAGTCACTGTGTTCTCCCCCACCCCCCCAAGATTACATACTTTAATGAGTCATGTAAATACTGGTACTACTCTAGTTTTGAACATGGCACAGATTTCCTCATGTGCAGCTTTATCCTCCAATCCTTATAGCATGCTTTCCACATACTCAAAGGCCAAATACTTAATAATTCCTATCTGTTTTCAGTGATAACTTAGGAATGATATTTAAATGTGAACTTTATAATCCTTGCACATGTCCATTTTCTTAGATTATAAAAAGCCTGGCTTGTTTGCTTGCTTAACTTTATTTTTACATACCTTCAACTTCGCGTCGGGGTTCAGGATCATCTGGGCTAAGTGAGCAACAGCGCCTGCGTCCACCACAGTCTGTGCTAACTCCGGAGAATGCTTTGAAATATCACTGAGCGTGGAAGCAGCAATCCTTTTCAAAGCAATTTCTGGCTCCTGGATACAAAGTACTAAAAGAGGAACAGCTCCCGCATCCACCACAGCTTGTGACAGTTCTGTGGGTCCAAGAAAAGTAATTAAGTGAGTTCGGGTGACTGACCCTTGTGCAAGCCATTTTTCACCCTGACAGATACAGCAAAGAAAAAAGGGAGGGTGTACTTCACTGTCTCCACATCTGCATTTCAAATCAGCCTTCCTGGTTTCATAAACCATGTGGACCAATCCTGAGCTGAAAAGCACACAGCCCAATAGATGGACCCCATTTACATGGGCACATTTGAGGTAGATTAGGCTGAAATGGCTTGTTATTCTTCTTTTTTTTTTTAAAGAGAGTAAGCAGATGTCAGCTGTTTAAGCTCTGACAATTCTGCACTTCTCAATAGGCAAGTATTTTATGCATGGTTTACAATAACAGAGAAAATTAAATGCCAAAATTTACCAACCACACTAATTAGGCAGTATTCTGTGCTATTTCCATGAGTAAACACTAACATGGATCTTGTGTCAATAATGTCAATTTTTTAATTTCTTTTCATTGTATAATACTTCTAAAAGACTTTTTAACTTTATACACAATAAAAGGTAATTTCATTGTATATGTAAAAACACTTTCAAAAAGGAGGTTGAATATTGAACAAATTACAATTAAACAGATAGTTAATATTTAAAGGAATATATAATGTTTAACCATTTGTCCAAAAATAATAGCTATGAAAAGAATATTCTTTAAATTATAGAGAATGGGAAGTAGACACACATATTATGTAAAAAATGCCTTTTGAAAAGCATTAAATGCCACACATAGTCACAGATTCTCTTTTTATATTCAGGGCCTATGTCACTGATTTACCTATACCCATTTCTATAATCTCTTCCTTTCAAATTCGGTGTTTTTACAGATGTTTACCTCCTTGAAAATTTGTTTTAAAACTCATGCTAAGACAAATATTCAGCATCATTTAAAGTCCTTAATTTAAAGAAAACATGGTGTCTAATATTTCAAAAGATTGGCATATCATATTTTAGCAAAGATGTTTCAATTTTAAAAAGTGTATTGCCAAATATGAAATATAATGGGAAGTTAATATGTTATCTCAAGAAGCAGAGACAGTCAAATGGAATTTTGTCAAATAAAAATTAACAAGACAGCAGCAGCAGACCGGTTTATCAATCCCAGGAAGCATCTCTAGGATTCTGTTGTACTTGCCTGAAAAACAGAGAGACAGCAGGCAAATCAGACGATCACTAATTCTCTTTCCCACTATCCACCCAAGGGAAATTGGAAGAAAACCTGAGTGTGATATGATGTGTCAGTTCTGGTTATAAATTTCATATTTTATGTTATTAATGTGCTACTTGCTAACTTTATTCAGTCCCAGTATTACAGATATCATGTATAAGATCAAGTTAATATGTAAAGGTATATATTTATATTTTTAGAAAACCTGGAAAACATAAATGGAAAGGACATTTTGTTTCAACAAAATGTGAGGACTAATTCATCTATTTATGTATTTTCACTTTTTTGTATAGTTACAAGTAAAGAATATGCAGTATACTATAAATATTTAGAAATACTATAAATAAAGACTTAGGGATATTATTTTAAACTTCAATTACCTAGGAATGTTCAAAATTTACCTTTCCTTGATTATCAAAACGCCATGCCCTCCTTTCCCTGAATATTATAATGCTAATAATGAAACAAACTGTTCTTTCTTCTTGTTACCCAACCCCATCCAGGTCCGAGGCTGTTTCCATTCTCCCTAAAACAGTGATGTGGGAATGTTAGGGGTAGCAGCAGGGAGAGATCTGTGGTGAAGGTAATGAGGCTTCCAGGGATCTGGGTTGGGCTTAGCAATTTTGTCTTGCAATTTCATGTTCACCTCTCTCTAGATAGATGATCGTATCAAACCAGAACCTGAACCTGGTACACACTATTATTAATAAATAACACTGTCCTACTTTCATACATATGTGAAGTATAAAAGGGCGTACATACAGGTGAAAATACAACAGGACCAAATAATCCACACCTATATTACACATCTACAGGTTAGCCACTTCATCTGCCTCTATCACTACTTGTTCATTTATCTATGGCAAACCTGTCTCCTCTTCCCTCCTATTTCTTGCCATTCACTGTTGTATCTACCCAGGTGCCTGTCAGTCAGGGCATGGGCGTGTGAGCCAGTGCTGGCCAGTGGCTCCGGAGTAGAGTCAGCGGGAGGCATCTGTTAGAGGTTTTTCTCTGTTGTAAAGAGACACCAAGGGGGTAACACTGCCTCCTCTTTGCTGGACATGGTCATGTCTGTAAATGACATCTGGAACTCCTACAGCCATCTTGCAACTATAACAGAAAAACCACCAATATACTGAGGATGGCTGAGCACAACAATGAAAACCATCTGGGTCTTCCCTGACAGTCAGATGCATAACCAACCTTGGAACTGCCCTGACTCTGAGCTTGCGTCATGTGAAATTACAAAATGTCCTACTGTTAACCACTTGTAGCTCATACTGCGTAGCTTATAAGCAAACAAGAGCACCCTGATCGAACTCTCGCACTTGGTGTATGTGTCTACTGTCCTCTCTTCCTTCAATCATTGGGTGTTCTTTAAACGCTTGCTTTGTGCTACAAAGTTGGCCAGATATGGGGAAAGCAGAGTAAAACACTTCTGCTCTAGAAGATTCCACTCAGGGTGACTATAACTCCAGACCCCCAAGTCTGTGGCATGTTTAGGGAAACAGCATATGGGGTGCAGACAGTCCACCTGTCCACTCCCTTCCTTCTACCCTTTTCTCTTTTCCTGCACTTCCAACTCTAAGAAAGACTCTAGTAACCAAAACACATACAAACTTCTGTTACATGTAAAATAAATTCGCACAGGAGAAATCTCACAGAGATTAAATTATATTTGTTCAGTTGTCATACCTACAAAATCAAAAGATTGATATGAACAGACTCAGATACTATTGAGAGATTTTACCCCCAAAAGGCAGTAAGCCAAGGTTACCATCAGTGCCTAAAAATATCTTAGCCTAATTTTAAATTTCAAGTAAATTTTCAAAAATCAAGTTTAAAAAAATACACTTTTGTAATAATATGTAACATAATCTTGTACTCTTAGATAACAAGCAAGATTAGAAATTTTAACTAAATGAAAAGATACAAAGCAAAAATGACTGTTATACAACCACGCTAATGGGATTTACACTGGGGTGATGTTGCTACTATTGATACATGCCTGTCTCCTCCATTTGCCAATTATTTTCTTCTATGTGATTATGTAATTTTTTAAATAAATAAGTATGAACAATGTCTTCTGTCCATACATGTAGCTATTGCTACTAAAATTTTAGCTTGTTTGTCCATATTGCAAAAAGATTCTTTCTTTAAAAATGGTGGTTGGGGCGGTTATCTCTTTTAAACAAAATATTAGAAAAGAATGTACAATTGCTCTTCAAGTTGCTTTTATTCACACCTTTAATATACTGGGGTAAAACATCACATTTTTTTTATGCTAGGCATTACTCATTTTCAATATTTTTTTAGATTGCAGTTTCTCAAAAGGAACGAAATGACCACTTTGCCATTATTCACAAACAGTAGTGAAGTCCTCTGTTGTGTACATGTAACAAATGAATGTACGATCTTAAAACCTGACAGTCAGTGGTTTTTCATCAAAGTGCTAAATTATTCACTTCCATCTCATGAATAGCTCCTTGACGAGTGAAGTAATGGACCTGGGACCCCCTGACCCCCACCCGGGAATGTCACAGGGTGAGGTCCTCATCACACTGTCCTATGCCTCTCTCAGGTGTCCCATGGTAGGTACGCACAACTCGTTCCTTATTAGCAAGCTGAAAATTTGGAATGACAACTCTACTTATTACACAGATGCATTTAAACAAAGGTTTGATTCTGTGCAATTTTAGGGAACTAAGATTCTGGTTTTGCTTCTTTTTACTAACAAGTACAAGTTGAATTTGTATTGATCTCTCACTAACGAGTATGAAGTGTTAAAAATTAAATGAATCTAAGTCTTCAATTTAAAATAATTGAAAAACCCAGGTTTAATTGTAAAACAAAAAGCACAAAAAAGAGGACTTTTCAAAATAAAACAGCACTGATAAAAGAATGCTCTCTAAAGCTGGGTCAATGGTATATAAGAAATGACATTATATAGACTAGCGGGAAGAGGGCAGACAGAAATGCCCACCGGTATAAATGGGGAAGACAATTACAGGCAAACCTACGTAAATCAGGTAAAAGTTTCTTTTAATAGTGCCCACAGTAGCTTCAGTCCCTCTAAACTGTTACTGCTAGTTGTTGTCTAGAACAAGAGTGGCAAACTCAATGCCACAGGGCCCAGGCAACAAAAATAAGTTACAGCAGAAAACTGTAAAGTAGTATGTTCCAGCTCCGAGGGGCAGCGATGGCGTGCCCTGCCCAGTTGCCATGTAGCGGGTTGAGCCTTCGGATGTCTGATCTCTTGATTTTCAAGACAAACCAGAAATCTGATCTTTAATTTGAAACTATTTTTTTTTAATGATGGCAACATTTATTTTAAGAACACTTTTTTTTTTTTTAAATGTGAGACAACATAGCAGAGAACGATAAAGCACCTCTACCTAGCAGTGAGCCACCATCTGCAACCACCATTTTATAATCTTGGCTTAAAACTAACACTGCAAAAGGACGGGCGAGGCTTCGGGATATGGAAAGGTGACGATCTTCCTATCACTGTTTTTTGAAATCATGTTTTGTAATAAAGGAAGAACCTTAGTCGCCCTTAAAAAAATAAAATTCAGAGAATTCTAAATATCTGATGAAAACGTAAGTGGTCTTCATCAAAACCATGGATTAATATAAACATACATCATGATATCAACTAATATGCTCATAATGAAAACAGGGTCATAAATCATGGTTTCCTTGCACTTAGGTGAGCATAATTATCAGTTAAAGATGGGCTGGTGTTTGCATCTGGCTGAGAAAGACATAGCTATATCGCTCAACCCCGATTTTTTTTTTTTAAAAAGATTTACTTAT